AGGCCCCCCAAAGAAATGCCACCCCACACCATGACTGACCCACCGCCAAACCGGTCATGCTAGAGGATGTTGCAGGCAGCAGAACGTTCTCCACGGCGTCTCCAGACTCTGTCACATGTGCTCAGTGTGAACCTGCTTTCATCTGTGAAGAGCACAGGGCGCCAGTGGCGAATTTCCAATCTTGGTGTTCTCTGGCAAATGCCAAACGTCCTGCACGGTGTTGGGCTGTAAGCACCAACCCCACCTGTGGACGTCGGGCCCTCATACCACCCTCATGGAGTCTGTTTCTGACCATTTGAGCAGACACATGCACATTTGTGGCCTGCTCGAGGTAATTTTGCAGGGCTCTGGCAGTGCTCCTCCTGCTCCTCCTTGCACAAAGGCGGAGGTAGTGGTCCTGCTGCTGGGTTGTTGCCCTCCTACGGCCTCCTCCACGTCTCCTAATGTACTGGCCTGTCTCCTGGTAGCGCCTCCATGCTCTGGACACTACGCTGACAGACACAGCAAACCTTCTTGCCACAGCTCGCATTGATGTGCCATCCTGGATGAGCTGCACTACCTGAGCCACTTGTGTGGGTTGTAGACTCCGTCTCATGCTACCACTAGAGTGAAAGCACCGCCAGCATTCAAAAGTGGCCAAAACATCAGCCAGGAAGCATAGGAACTGAGAAGTGGTCTGTGGTCACCACCTGCAGAACCACTTCTTTATTGGGGGTGTCTTGCTAATTGCCTATAATTTCCATCTGTTGTCTTTCCATTTGCACAACAGCATGTGAAATATATTGTCAATCAGTGTTGCTTCCTAAGTGGACAGTTTGATTTCAAAGAAGTGTGATTGAATTGGAGTTACATTGTGTTGTTTAAGTGTTCCCTTTATTTTTTTGAGCAGTATATACAGTGGGGAAACAAAGTATTTAGTCAGCCACCAATTGTGCAAGTTCTACAACTTAAAACGATGAGAGAGGCCTGTAATTTTCATCATAGGTACATGTCAACTATGACAGACAAAATGAGAAAAAAATCCAGAAAATCACATTGTAGGATTTTTAATGAATTTATTTGCAAATTATGGTGGAAAATAAGTATTTGGTCAATAACAAAAGTTTCTCAATACTTTGCTATATACCCTTTGTTGGCAATGACACAGGTCAAACGTTTTCTGTAAGTCTTCACAAGGTTTTCACACACTGTTGCTGGTATTTTGGCCCATTCCTCCATGCAGATCTCCTCTAGAGCAGTGATGTTTTGGGGCTGTTGCTGGGCAACATGGACTTTCAACTCACTCCAAAGATTTTCTATGGGGTTGAGATCTCGAGACTGGCTAGGCCACTCCAGGACCTTGAAATGCTTCTTACGAAGCCACTCCTTCATTGCCCGGGCAGTGTGTTTGGGATCATTGTCATGCTGAAAGACCCAGCCACGTTTCATCTTCAATGCCCTTGCTGATGGAAGAAGGTTTTCACTCAAAATCTCACGATACATGGCCCCATTCATTCTTTCCTTTACACGGATCAGTCGTCCTGGTCCCTTTGCAGAAAAACAGCCCCAAAGCATGATGTTTCCACCCCCATGCTTCACAGTAGGTATGGTGTTCTTTGGATACAACTGAGCATTCTTTGTCCTCCAAACACGACGAGTTGAGTTTTTACAAAAAGTTCTATTTTGGTTTCATCGGACCATATGACATTCTCCCAATCCTCTTCTGGATCATCCAAATGCACTCTAGCAAACTTCAGACGGGCCTGGACATGTACTGGCTTAAGCAGGGGGACACGTCTGGCACTGCAGGATTTGAGTCCCTGGCGGCGTAGTGTGTTACTGATGGTAGGATTTGTTACTTTGGTCCCAGCTTTCTGCAGGTCATTCACTAGGTCCCCCCGTGTGGTTCTGGGATTTTTGCTCACCGTTCTTGTGATCATTTTGACCCCACGGGGTGAGATCTTGCGTGGAGCCCCAGATCGAGGGAGATTATCAGTGGTCTTGTATGTCTTCCATTTCCTAATAATTGCTCCCACAGTTGATTTCTTCAAACCAAGCTGCTTACCTATTGCAGATTCAGTCTTCCCAGCCTGGTGCAGGTCTACAATTTTGTTTCTGGTGTCCTTTGACAGCTCTTTGGTCTTGGCCATAGTGGAGTTTGGAGTGTGACTGTTTGAGGTTGTGGACAGGTGTCTTTTATACTGATAACAAGTTCAAACAGGTGCCATTAATACAGGTAATGAGTGGATGACAGAGGAGCCTCTTAAAGAAGAAGTTACAGGTCTGTGAGAGCCAGAAATCTTGCTTGTTTGTAGGTGACCAAATACTTATTTTCCACCATAATTTGCAAATAAATTCATAAAAAATTCTACAATATGATTTTCTGGATTTTCTTTTCTCAATTTGTCTGTCATAGTTGACGTGTACCTATGATGAAAATTGCAGGCCTCTCTCATCTTTTTAAGTGGGAGAACTTGCACAATTGGTGGCTGACTAAATACTTTTTTCCCCCACTGTATATGATGTGTATAAGCTGGAAGTAGAAGCCTAAGTGTTGTTGTTCATTAGTTTACTCCAATTAGGAGAGGGGTGGTAGGGTTAGTGGAAAGTAATGAAGGAAAATATATTTTTAAAATACATATATATATATATGTATGTATATATGTATGTATATAAATTGCAGTGCCTTGCAAAAGGATTCATCCCCCTTGGCGTTTTTCCTATTTTGTTGCATTACAACCTGTAATTTAAATGGATTTTTATTTGGATTTCATGTAATGGACATACACAAAATAGTCAAAATTGTTTAACTTGTTTCAAAATTAAAAATAATAATAATAACGGAAAATTGGTGGGTGCATAAGTACTCACCCCATTTGCTATGAAGCCCCTAAATAAGATCTGGTGCAACCAATTACCTTCAGAAGTCACATAATTAGTTAAATAAAGTCCACCTGTGTGCAATCTAAGTGTCACATTATCTGTCACATGAGCTCAGTATATACTGTACATCTACTGTACTTCTTCAACTATGGGTAAAACCACATTTGTTTCATGACAGGAGAACATCCTTACCCAACAATTCACTGGAAATATTCCCTAAACTTTTACCCAAAATGGAAATATACTGGTAGTAGTTAGAGCCCGAGAGTTTTTTCCTGGTAGAGACACAAGGCCAGGAAAACTCTATAAGATTACTGCAGCACTATTCAGATCACAAAATAATCTCTGTAGAACGGTGGAGCACTGATCTGAACACAAACAATCATGGAGGAAATGGGAAATATGTGATCTGAACCCAAAGAATCACAGTGTGGGAAGGAGTAACAACATAAGTGGCACACTGAAGCCCACCTGGTCACGAGAGCAGGCTGTGTGGGTCACAAACACCAGGTGACAGACCTGAAGGATCATTTCAAACAGGAAAACTGAAAATGTTTTACTGCTGTTCTGATGACTGCTCTTAAACCACTGTGCTGTAAACCTGCACATGATTTCTCTGTGTTAGCAGCAGATGTCAGCGCCTGGCTGCCTGCAGAGCAAATAGACAATGACTTGAAAGGTAAACCAAACTGGATCATTGGACCATGTAGGACTAAGCACTGGCAACAATTGTGCAACCATACATAAACTCCTTTTGATATAGACCTGTGGCTTAAATGAACAATGGTGACTTGCTGATTACTCAATTTTAATTTATTCACTTCCAATTGTCATCGAATGAAATTACCTCTAGACCAAGAACATTTTCATGGTCTATCGCTTGTTTTGGATTGAGGTCTTTCAAAAGATGCGGTTTCTAAACTTTCATGGGAAATGGACCATGCATCTCCCACGTGAGTGTTAGAAGCATAGGAGGACTCTCTGGATGAGGTGAGTTCACTGAATGAGCGAACTGACGCCCCCTGCTGTGGAAAACAGCCCTAAAAAAATGCAGGAAGTGGAACCTAAAGGGCCCGGCTCCCTCTCTGTCAAGACGGTCAGCTTAACACTCACACACATACCCAATTACAAATCAACCCCTAGCCACTTTATGTAGATCTCAAAGGTGTAAAAAGGGACTTACACCTCTAGGAAATATTACCATTTCACATTCCTTGATTTCTTTTTACAATAAGTGCCTCATGCTGGTGCCTCTGTATTGATTTGCAATTGGACAACAGTTAGCCCTGAGAGGAGTTTGTATTTATGCCGCTCTTATCCAGACCCGAGCACAACAGCTCCCACATACACACTTCAGACCTGTTCCACCCCACACAGCCCCCAGTAGAACCTTTCTCTCTCCCAGAGCCCCTTGTGAACCCACAAGCTAGTGCTCTGTCAGTCAGACGGTAATCTAACACCTCCGTTACCATGGAGAAGCCTCCATTTACTGTCAAAGACCTGAGTGGATTGGCTTAGAGGCGGCTGACACGTATCAACTATCACACCTGTTATGCAAAACTGGCTAAATTCATCAGGCACTTCATTCAGATTCATTTTGAAAGGGGGGATTCATACAAACAAAAAATAAACAAAGATTCAAATGAGACTTGTGAAAGGTATACATCCAGAGAACATTTTATTTCAGTTACGACAAAAAACCATTTTATACAGAGTGATAATTTGCGAGGCTACATGTACAGGTTTCCTATTACGTTCTGAGAGCAATGGAAGACGGAACTGCTGCACCAGACAAACAGACAGCGGGGCATGTGGCATCAGAAAAGATTAACAAATATAAATACAGAAATCCTTTCTAGTTCTCTTTTTTTAAAGAAAGTGCAACATTCCAAGAGGAGCATCTTCTTACTCTCAAAACATTTAGGAAATGGTGGTGGATGGTATTCCCTGCCAGTCAGTTGGTTGATGGGACAGCGGTTTGGGTGTTATTGTTGGGGGTGAAGAGAGAAAGAGAGTGTGTGTGTGGAGATCAGGTGTGAGAGTCCCTGATTGGCTATCCTGCCTACAGTACAGTGTGTTCAGACACAGAGGAATATAGGTAGATGAGGAGGCGGAGCAGGGTGGTGGGGGTGGGCATCTCAGAGCCCAGCGTCGTTGTAGGTGGGGGTGGGGACCTTTAGGATGCTCTGTGCATCCTTCTCCAGGAGGGGACGCCACTTGACCTCCCCTGTCAGCAGCAGGTCCTCCCCGTCCAGAGTATCGATGAACTGCATCTGTGTGGAACAAGCACAGACATAAAGAAAGTACCATTAAGACTGGTTCAAGGACATCTATTACAGAGGAAGCAAACTGATGCTTCATATTTTTCTTATGTACTGAATAGTCAAATGATAAGTGTGTAGAACATTGACAAAAGCAACCAACTAAACACAGTATTTTTCTTAACATGGTATTTTGTGTACCATGTTGTTTACAAGAGCTGTAAATTGTGGAAAAACATGGCTCTGTTACAGCGTTAGCCACCAGAGGGCAGTTATTTTAGCTTCCACTGGGGACAGTGCAGTGATCATGGTCACGCTACAGTTTAGGAGTTAGCAGGCTGCATAGATTTATTTATTTCTTAATATGGCAAGGCGAGGACACCTCGACCCGGTGTCTTAATTCAACCAGTGGCCTGAGCTCATGGAAGGAGCATTTGATGAAAGTAATTAGTGTGAGTAATGATGCCAGTGCAGCGCGTGACCACTGTACGTGACTTCATCGCAGGGGCTTGCGATTTCCTCTCCTGTAAGTGTGTCATCAGGCACGGCCAGGTTTTATGTGCTGCACCTGTGATGAAACAGTTCTAGCCCCCTTGACCCCCGCCTTCTTCAAGAACTCGACTATACTCTTGCAATCCCGGCGAGCTCAGAGAAACAGTATCTCGTTTGTTTGTTTTTCTCTTGAAAAGTCCCCCCTCGTCTCATACATTTTTGGCAGTGCTTGTAATGTGCGCTTGCAGCTGGCTGGAACCTGTGGCAGGGTCTCTGTGTGCAATGATGGAGGACACCTTTAATGCAAGCAGGCAGGAGAGTGGGGCAGGCCCTGGACTACGTACACACCAACAACACACAACAGGACCAAGGCGGGTGCCAGTGGAGTGGACAAGTCACACGTTCCCCAAAGCCACTTTCATTCGTTTTTCTACTAACGTCACAGTTCCACTGTTGCAGCGCTGGCTTGGGTTGAGGAAACGGTAAAACGCTTGAGTTTGACCGTAAATCCGCCACCTTTAACAGATCTTGCCCAAGCTTGATGCACGATACTGTGTGTCGGGGACCAGGGAAGGATCAAGGACCTGGCTAGCAGACTGACGCTTGTTTCCCCAATGTATGTTGGCCTTTCGGTTTGTAGGGGGCTATAGATGAGAGAGAGGGCAAGCAGTGAGGAGAGCCTTCTTGTGGAATCTTAGTGAACATATGGCCTGTGCGGACACAGCCTGCAGGTGTTTCTCCAAGCAGGCGTGTTTTCAATCACAGAAAAGGAAAATATACAGAGGGGGCTTCACTGGGAGCTGTGGCAGAGAGCCCAGGGGTGCGGGAAGGGAGAGGAGGGTGGGACTGGGTGACTACCTACTCTCCTCATCACTCTAATAACAGGCATGTTGCATAGAGTATGGTCAGAAAAAGTGGCAGTGAGTCACAGTGAGCCAATCTAATATGGAGCCCAACGGCTGACCGTAGAGGCAACCAGTCCAAAACACCATTCTCCAGCACCTAACCAAGAGCTACTGTAAGAGACTATTAAGGCTGTAAGGTCGCAATGTTTAAGTATAGTAGTTTTCAAACTTTTGGGCTGGTGACATCTAAAATAATTTGGTTCAAAGCTTGCTTTACACCACTCAGCTGTTCTGGTTCTAAAAATCTTAAGCGTGTAACTAAAAAAGGCGCTCCACAACAAAAATTATCCTGGACTTGAGAGGACACCCTAGAGCAGCTTTCCTCTTCTCAGGGACCCACAGACATTCCATGTACAGTGGGGAGAACATGTATTTGATACACTGCCGATTTTGCAGGTTATCATAGGTACACGTCCACTGTGAGAGACGGAATCTAAAACAAAAATCCAGAAAATCACATCGTATGATTTTTAAGTAATTCATTTGCATTTTATTGCATGACATAAGTATTTGATACATCAGAAAAGCAGAACTTAATATTTTGCAATTACAGAGATCATACGTTTCCTGTAGGTCTTGACCAGGTTTGCATACACTGCAGCAGGGATTTTGGCACACTCCTCCATACAGACCTTCTCCAGATCCTTCTGGTTTCGGGGCTGTCGCTGGGCAATACGGACTTTCAGCTCCCTCCAAAGATTTTCTATTGGGTTCAGGTCTGGAGACTGGCTAGGCCACTCCAGGACCTTGAGATGCTTCTTACAGAGCCACTCCTTAGTTGCCCTTACTGTGTGTTTCGGGTTGTTGTCATGCTGGAAGACCCAGCCACGACCCATCTTCAATGCTCTTACTGAGGGAAGGAGGTTGTTGGCCAAGATCTTGCGATACATGGCCGCATCCATCCTCCCCTCAATACGGTGCAGTCGTCCTGTCCCCTTTGCAGAAAAGCATCCCCAAAGAATTATGTTTCCACCTCCATGCTTCACGGTTGGGATGGTGTTCTTGCGGTTGTACTCATCCTTCTTCTTCCTCCAAACATGGCGAGTGGAGTTTAGACCAAAAAGCTCTATTTTTGTCTCATCAGACCACATGACCTTCTCCCATTCCTCCTCTGGATCATCCAGATGGTCATTGGCAAACTTCAGATGGGCCTGGACATGCGCTGGCTTAAGCAGGGGGACCTTGCGTGCGCTGCAGGATTTTAATCCATGACGGCGTAGTGTGTTACTAATGGTTTTCTTTGAGACTGTGGTTCCAGCTCTCTTCAGGTCATTGACCAGGTCCTGCCGTGTAGTTCTGGGCTGATCCCTCACCTTCCTCATGATCATTGATGCCCCACGAGGTGAGATCTTGCATGGAGCCCCAGACCGAGTGTGATTGACCGTCATCTTGAACTTCTTCCATTTTCGAATAATTGCGCCAACAGTTGTTGCCTTCTCACCAAGCTGCTTGCCTATTGTCCTGTAGCCCATCCCAGCCTTGTGCAGGTCTACAATTTTATCCCTGATGTCCTTACACAGCTCTCTGGTCTTGGCCATTGTGGAGAGGTTGGAGTCTGTTTGATTGAGTGTGTGGACAGGTGTCTTTTATACAGGTAACGAGTTCAAACAGGTGCAGTTAATACAGTTAATGAGTGGAGAACAGGAGGGCTTCTTAAAGAAAAACTGACAGGTCTGTGAGAGCCATAATTCTTACTGGTTGGTAGTTGATCAAATACTTATGTCATGCAATAAAATGCAAATTAGTTACTTAAAAATCATACAATGTGATTTTCTGGATTTTTGTTTTAGATTCCGTCTCTCACAGTTGAAGTGTACCTATGATAAAAATGACAGACCTCTACATGCTTTGTAAGTAGGAAAACCTGCAAAATCGGCAGTGTATCAAATACTTGTTCTCCCCACTGTATATGAATTATTCCAGAACTAGCACACCTGATTTAGCTTGTCAATTAATCATCAAGCCCTTGACTAGGTGAATCAAGTGAGCTAGTTCAGGGCTACAACAAAATTGTGAAACGTCCCTCAGGTCTTTCCTCACCTGATAAGTCAGGGCTGACTCATTTTTGGGTGCAAGCTGAAAACCTTGAGGCCAGAAACATTTTTTTTTATTTGGTGATACGGAGTGTTCTCTTCCTCTCTCACCTGTTTGCGGACGTACTCCAGGATGAGCTCCAGCTGCCTGGGGTCCTCGCACTGGCGGTTGAACATGTTCCTCCACAGGGCGGCCGCCAGCACCCCGTCGTCCGACAAGATTCCCTTCAAAACGCAACACAGAGGTGAATCTTGAATCACTGCCTCGTCTAATTGCACTAAGGACTGGACCAGACCGAACAGGACACACTGGTTCCCGCTGGACAGTTCCGCCAGCCAGGCCTGGGACAGAACCACGACATGCTAGCTCCTGACCTGTTCCCAAGCAGGCTGGGTCTCTGGGGCCCTTCTGTTCCCAGTCATCTTTTCCAGTGTGTTTTGTTTTATACTATCTGGCATAGCTGATGCAAATATAACCATAATGGTTATAGCTGGGTCTTACATTTGACATTTTAGTCATTTAGCAGACTCTCTTATCCAGAGCGACTTACAGTTAGTGAGTGCATACATTTTGCTTACCTCATCATATCCAAAAATAGCAGCATAGAAAGTCTCTGTCATAGCCCTCATGCTTTCCTTCCGGTGAATGGCATCAATCTAGAAGGGCGAAAGAGAGGATGGGGGAAGGAGAGAGCAAGGACCCAAGTTGGTTACAACACCATTTTGGGTAAACAGTCCCAAAACTACTGCTTTGCTAGAGTTCCTCCGTTTTTTTCTTCACATTTTCCACAGAGCGTACACACACATTTTCCCCTCCTGAGATACAAATACAGTGCCTTCGGAAAGTATTCAGACCCCTTGACTGTATTGTCTTATAGATAAAAAAAAAAAAAAATGTGCCAAAGTAAAAGTGGGGTTGGGATAACTCAGTAGGGTCTGTAGAATCTATACAGTTCCTTCAGAAAGTATTCACACCCCTTGACCTTTTCCACATTTTGTTGTGTTACAGCCTGAATTTAAAGTGGATTAAATTGAGATTAAGTGGAGTCAGCTATGAACTTTACAGCAGTAAAATGTCATTGCGGTGCAACGTTAGCAATGTTCTTTGCTTGATCTCTTGCCGTGCAAACACTTGCCTGGAAAAGTCGACCCTCAGCAACTATAGGGTTGAATTATAAAATAAATTTGCGATCAAAAGGTTGTAATAGTAAACTCAACGTCCAAGAGGAAAACAATTAGCAACTCCAGCAAAGTTTCCAAGTAAATGTATGAACGTTTATTTGGCTGCAGGCTAATCACCCACCAGTAGGCTATGTACATTTGCAATTAGCTAGCTTGCTTCACTTACCAGTAGTAGAGAGAGCTGGCATTTGTGAATATTATTCAGTGTCCAGCATGCTGGTACTGGTCGTGCTAAGGAGTCTAAAATATGGTCCAACTAGCAAGAAAGTATTCTCAATCACTTGCTGAATGAAAATCACCCACAATTCCAGTTTTGCTATCAACGTCAAAGCAACTTTGTAACAACAGTGTTTTCAAAATCTGCGCTTCATCAGCTGTCGCACAGACAGACGGACTGACAGCCTGGAGCCAAGATTATCCCCCCTTTCTTTTTTCAAACCACTTGAGCATGCTGTCTCTGACAAATTATCTTGTTAGCTCTCTCAGAACTATCTTGACCCTAACCAGTCAGGCCTCAAGGCGGCTCACTCAACTGAGACTGCTGTCCTCTGTTTTCATCCTCCTCGATCTATCCGCTGCCTTCGACACCATCAGATCCTCCTCTCCACCCTCTTAGGGTTGGACATCTCAGGCTCTGCACACTCCTAGATTGCATCCTACCTGGCAGGTCGCTCCTACCAAGTGTCGTGGAGAGGATCTATGTCTGCACCACGTGCTCTCACTACTGGTGTCCCCCAGGGCTCGGTTCTAGGCCCTCTCCTCTTTTCTCTTTACACCGAGTCACTCGGCTCTGTCATATCCTCACATGATGACATTCAACTACTCTTCTCCTTCCCTACTGAGGAGTGGCTTCCGTCTGGCCATTCTACCATAAAGGCCTGATTGGTGGAGTGCTGCAGAGATGGTTGTCCTTCTGGAAGGTTCTCCCATCTCCACAGAGGAACTCTAGATCTCTGTCAAAGTGACCACTGGGTTCTTGGTCACCTCCCTGACCAAGGCCCTTCTCCCGATTGCTCAGTTTGGCCGGGCGGCCAGCTCTAGGAAGAGTCTTGGTGGTTCCAAACATCTTCCATTTAAGAATGATGGAGGCCACTGTGCTCTGGGGGACCTTCAATGCTGCATAAATGTTTTGGTACCCTTCCCCAGATCTGTGCCTCGACACAATTCTGTCTTGGAGCTATACGGACAATTCCTTCGACCTCATAGCTTGGTTTTTGCTCTGACATGCAATGTCAATTGTGGGACCTTATATAGACAGGTATGTGCCTTTCCAAATCATGTCCAATCATTTGAAATTACCACTGGTGAACTCCAATCAAGTTGTAGAAACATCTCAAGGATGATCAACGGAAACAGGATTCACCTGAGCTCAATTTTGAGTCTCATAGCAAAGTGGCTAAATACTTATGTAAATAAGGTATCCGTTTTTTATTTGTAATACATTTGCAAAAATTTCTAAAAACCTGTTTTCGCTTTGTCATTATGGGGTATTGTGTGTAGATTGCTGAGGAAAATGTTTTATTGAATCCATTTTAGAATAAGGCTGTAACGTAACAAAATGTGGAAGATGTCAAGGAGTCTGAATACTTTCCGAAGACACTGTATGTAATTTATAGGCCTACAGTGTATTGCATTGGGACCAATGGAGTGGGTGGGGTAGAAAGTGCTGCTGGGTATTTAGATCTGTCCCCCAAGAAATAACACTAAATCTAGATTATACAGTCCCTAGTGAGTATTCCCAACACCACTTTTACCTCGGCACATATAATTTTTTCTCTAGAAGGCAATATGTAATTCATATAGAGTACTGCATTGCAGTGAATGTGGTGGGTGGATTAAGGAGTCAACAGCACTCTGTATTACATTTTACATTTTAGTCATTTAGCAGACGCTCTTATCCAGAGCGACTTACAGGAGCAATTAGGGTTAAGTGCCTTGCTCAAGGGCACATCGACAGATTTTTCACCTAGTCGGCTCGGGGATTAGAACCAGCGACATTTGCAAATAAATTCATTAAAAATCCTAAAATGTGATTTTCTGGATTTTTTTTTCTTATTTTGTCTGTCATAGTTGACGTGTACCTATGATGAAAATTACAGGCCTCTCTCATCTTTTTAAGTGGGAGAACTTGCACAATTGGTGGCTGACTAAATACTTTTTTCCCCCACTGTGTGTGTGTGTGTGTGTGTGTGTGTGTGTGTATATATATATATATATATATATATATATATATATATATATATATAGCTCAAAAAAATAAAGGGAACACTTAAACAACACAATGTAACTCCAAGTCAATCACACTTCTGTGAAATCAAACTGTCCACTTAGGAAGCAACACTGATTGACAATAAATGTCAAATGCTGTTGTGCAAATGGAATAGACAACAGGTGGAAATTATAGGCAATTAGCAAGACACCCCCAATAAAGAAGTGGTTCTGCAGATGCTGACCACAGACCACTTCTCAGTTCCTATGCTTCCTGGCTGATGTTTTGGTCACTTTTGAATGCTGGTGGTGCTTTCACTCTAGTGGTAGCATGAGACGGAGTCTACAACCCACACAAGTGGCTCAGGTAGTGCAGCTCATCCAGGATGGCACATCAATGCAAGCTGTGGCAAGAAGGTTTGCTGTGTCTGTCAGCATAGTGTCCAGAGCATGGAGGCGCTACCAGGAGACAGGCCAGTACATCAGGAGACGTGGAGGAGGCCGTAGGAGGGCAACAACCCAGCAGCAGGACCACTACCTCCGCCTTTGTGCAAGGAGGAGCAGGAGGAGCACTGCCAGAGCCCTGCAAAATGACCTCCAGCAGGCCACAAATGTGCATGTGTCTGCTCAAACGGTCAGAAACAGACTCCATGAGGGTGGTATGAGGGCCGACGTCCACAGCTGGGGGTTGTGCTTACAGCCCAACACCGTGCAGGACATTTGGCATTTGCCAGAGAACACCATGATTGACAAATTCGCCACTGGCGCCCTGTGCTCTTCACAGATGAAAGCAAGTTCACACTGAGCACGTGACAGACGTGACAGAGTCTGGAGACGCCGTGGAGAACGTTCTGCTGCCTGCAACATCCTCCAGCATGACCGGTTTGGCGGTGGGTCAGTCATGGTGTGGGGTGGCATTTCTTTGGGGGGGGCCGCACAGCCCTCCATGTGTTCGCCAGAGGTAGCCTGACTGCCATTAGGTACCGAGATGAGATCCTCAGACCTCTTGTGAGACCATATGCTGGTGCGGTTGGCCCTGGGTTCCTCCTAATGCAAGACAATGCTAGACCTCATGTGGCTGGAGTGTGTCAGCAGTTCCTGCAAAAGGAAGGCATTGATGCTATGGACTGGCCCGCCCGTTCCCCAGACCTGAATCCAATTGAGCACATCTGGGACATCATGTCTCGCTCCATCCACCAACGCCACGTTGCACCACAGACTGTCCAGGAGTTGGCGGAGATCCCTCAGGAGACCATCTGCCACCTCATCAGGAGCATGTCCAGGCGTTGTAGCGAGGTCATACAGGCACGTGGAGGCCACACACACTACTGAGCCTCATTTTGACTTGTTTTAAGGGCATTACATCAAAGTTGGATCAGCCTGTAGTGTGGTTTTCCACTTTAATTTTGAGGGTGACTCCAAATCCAGACCTCCATGGGTTGATACATTTGATTTCCATTGATAATTTTTGTGTGATTGTGTTGTCAGCACATTCAACTATGTAAAGAAAAAAGTATTTAATAAGATTATTTCATTCATTCAGATCTAGGATGTGTTGTTTAAGTGTTCCCTTTATTTTTTTGAGCAGTATATATATATATATATATATATATATATATATATATATATATATATATATATATATATATATATATATATATATGACACTCATCAACAACTCTAAATCGCTTTGGCAGCACAGTAGGCATGAAGTCACTTGCCGATAATGTTGCATACGTTCTATCATTTTCATCGAAACTCAAAGTTAACATAAACCCTAGATGCCTTCAATTGCCCAACATATAGGCATGCCCAATTTAGGCATCTTGTTTAAC